CCCGGCGCCGACCGCACGCTCTTCGTGGACCACAAGCTGACGCTCGCCGCGCACCCGCTGGAGCTCCTCGCGCGCCTGCTCCCCGGCGGCGCCGCGCCGATCGCGCTCGGCGCCTTCGAGCACCCCTGCGCCGTCGAGCGCCCGCGCGAGGCCGCGTGCCCCGGCGCGGGCGGCGCCGGCGACCCGCGGGCGGCCTGGCTCTTCGCCGAGGCGGCCGCGGTTTTGGCGCAGAACCGCACGGACGACGCGGCCGCGCTCCGCGCGCAGGTTGCGCGCTACCGCGCGGCGCCGGTGCGCGTCCCCTACTACGTCGACGCGGCCGTGCTCGCGCGGGCCCACGGCGGCGCCCGCGGCGCCGCGGCGGCGGCGCTCGCGGCCGCGTGGGCCCGGGAGCTCCTCCGCGCCGACTCGTCGGACCGCGACCAGCTCGCGCTCGCCGCCGCGGGCGGCGCCTTCGTCGTCCACGCCCGAACCGGCGCGCCGCCGCCGGCCTGCAAGCCCCTCTGCCACTGGGCCTACTCGCGGGACGACGTCGCGTCGAAGACGGGCAAGGCGCGCGACGACCGGCGGTTCGCGCGCGCGCGGAAGGAGGGCCTCCTGCGCGACTTCGGCTAATTTAGCGTTTTAGGATGTGGCCCCCGGCCGTGATGCGGAGGAGGCTCGCGGCGTGGGCCTCCGTGCCGGCGGCGAAGAGCTCCATGTGGCGGTCGCGGTCGTGGAGCGCCGCGTCGTCGCGCGTCGCGAAGCGGAACTGCACCGTGCCCTCCCTCGGGCAACACAAATCGTCCAGATTCTTCGGGTTCGGCTCGATCCAGCCGCTCGGCACGTCCCAGCCGGGGATCCAGTTGTACTCGGCCTCGTCCTCGGACCGCCGGTACATGTGCTCCGAGATCTGCGAGATGCCGCTCCGGTTCGCGATGCGCAATAACACGCAGAACACGAAGCGCTCCTCGTAGCGCGACAGGATGTAGCGGTGGAAGCCGTCCGGGTGCCGCGGGTTAAAGTACGCGAAGGGCCCGAGCCGGTGCGCGACGCGCATACTGTCCAACTTCGAGATCCGGCCCAGCAGGCAGGGCCCCAGGTTCTCGAGGTCGACGATCTTGCGGTACAGCACGCACAGCAGCTGCACGCGCAGCTCGCCCCACTCGACCCCGTCGGGCATGGCGTCCCAGAGCGCCGCGGCCTGCTCGGACGTGACGCACGCGTTCGCCGTCGCCACTTCCAACTCGATGAGCCGCAGCGACATCCAGGCCAGGGGCGTCGACGGCGGCAGGTGGTGCTCGTAGGCGCTCTCGGAGTCGAAGGCCGTGGCGGCGCCGGCGTTCTGGATGTCCATGTTGAGGCGCACGTAGCGGACCCTGGGCCGCTTCGGGTCCTTTTTCAGGGGCGACTCGGGCGCCTCCGGCTCCTTCTTCTTCGCCGGGCTCGGCGCCGCCTCCTCGCCGGGCTTGGGCTTCTCGGGGATGACCAGCGACCTGAAGTTGCCGCTGTCGCAGTCCAGGTCCGACGACATGCACCCTAAAAATGACGACTCGACGAGCTCCGCGGCGAACTGGCGCGCCTGCTCCGCGGTCATCATGCTGTGGCCGTGGCGCTTGGGCCACTTCAATTCGAAGACCTTGTCGGGCTTCTCCGGGTCCTCGGGCGCGCCGAGGTTCGTCGCGGACGTCGCGCGGCGGCCGGAGCCCGGCGGCGGCGACGCGTCGCGCGACGGCGACACGTCGCGCGCGGAGCTCGCGCGCCGCGTGTTGCGCTTCGTCATCTTCCGCTTCTTCGCCTCGAGCTTGTTCTTCTTCTTGAGGGCCGCCGGCGACGTCTTCGTGCCGTCGCGCCAGTCCGCCGCCTGGACGGCGACCTTGAGCGCGTCGAAGCGCGGCGCGGGCAGCGCGCGGTCGTGCTTCTTCGGCCGGTTCGCGGAGATGACGTCGAAGGACAGCACGCCGCTCTCCGGCAGGGCGTCGGCGTCCAGCGGCAGCGTGCCCGCGTAGGGCTGGCGGTCGAGGCGCACGTTCCGCAGGAGCCCCGTCCACTCGCCGCGCTGCGAGACGTCGGCGCCGCCGCGGTCCCGCAGCGCCTGCATCTCGCCGTAGGACCGCGCCAACAGGAGCGTGAGCATCTTCACGTCGCCGTCGACGGCGCAATCGAAGGCGTAGTGGCCCATGAGCGACCCGGTGCAGACGCGCCAGATCACGGACCCCATCTCGCAGCGCAGCACGACCTGCTCGCGGAAGTCGAGGTTGCGCTCGAGGAGCTTCACGCAGTCCAGCGGGTGGGCCATGGCCATGGCCAGGCGCTTGCACATCTCGTACTTCTCGAGGCGCGCGGTCCGCCGGCAGACGTCGATGATCTGCTGCCCCTGGACCGACGTGAAGGACCCGCCGCCGCCGAGGGCGTCCGCCGTCAGGCAGTTGATGAGCTTCATCTTCTCGCTCTCCGTCGACGCCTCCTCGATCATCTTCAGCAGCCCCGAGACGCCGCGGTCGCTGCCGAGCTCCGCGGACGAGTTGTACGCGCAGCCGTCCGTCTCCACGGTCACGCTCAGGATGCCCGCGTGCGGCAGCACGAAGGGCCTGTTCGTGTCCGCGTCGAGCAGGGGCCCCTTGACGCCCGCGGGCACGGACACGAAGTGCGCGCACATGTAGGCGACGAACTCGTTCTCCTCGAGCTTGCCGCCCGCGTCGCGGTCGTGGTCCTCGACGACGCGCGCCGCCTCGTCCGAGTCCATCTCCAAGCCGACGAGCGACCCGCAGGCGACGATCTCCGACGCGTCCAGCGCGCCGGAGCCGTCCGCGTCGACGATGCGGAACATGGCCCGAAAGATCATGTCGAAGAGGACCTCGTGCGTGAGCTTGCCCTGCCCCCCCTGCTTCGCGTAGGCGTTGCGCCGCGGGTTGAAGAACTGGAACTGGTTCGTCGCCTTGACGGAGTTGCGGACCTGCTTCGCGGTCTTCTTGAAGCGCGCGTTGTTGGGCTTCGCGCCGATGATCTGGCCGTCCTTCGTCGCGCCCGCGCCGACGAAGAAGCGGAGGTGCTCGTCCACGAAGGTCTTGATGAGCGGCACGACCTCGGGCTTCGGGTAGAGGTGGGATTTCTCTAAGACGTGCAGGATCTGCTTCGTCGGGAGCTGGCCCTTGTCCAGACATTGCGCGATGATGGGCTTCCAGAGCTTCACGCGGTCGCCCGCGTGGTCGACGTCCGCGCGCGCGAGCCGGATGTCCGTCGGCCGCGCGCCCTTGGGCGCGTCCGCCGGCAGGAGCGCCAGCGCCACGCGCACGTGCTCGCGGTGGTCCGCGATGCGCACGAGTTCGCGCGCAACCGTGAACTCGTAGGCGTCCGCGAGGTCGAGCGCGTAGTCCCCCTCGGGCTTGGCGAGGTCGACGAGGTCCTCGTGCTCGTGGGGCTCGTGCATCGTGCACCCGTCGAGGCTCACCATGAACTCGCCCCGCAGGTCCCGGACCGCGTGGAGCATCGCGCGCGAGCCGATCGCGCCCGGGTGGTTGCCGCTGAAGGACAGGTAGGCCGTGCGCGCCTTGCGGTAGCGGATGCCGTTCCCGAGGACGAAGGCGCCGCGCTGGCGGATCGAGTTGTGCGCGAGGAGGAGGATCTTCAACCTGTCGTTCGCCTCGAGCGACCGGCTCATCGCCGTCGCGCCCGCGTCGCCGAAGCCGTTGTACTCGAGGTTCAGGCGCGTCAGCGACGCGTTCTTCGCGATGGCGCGCCCCAGCGACGCCGCCGAGTCGCCGCGGATGGAATTCCAGGAGAGGTCGACGTCCGTCAGCGTCGACGACCCGTGGTAGCCGTCGAAGGCGCGCGCGAGCGCCTCGGCGCCCGTGATCCAGCCGCCGACGCCGTTGCGGCCCTCGCCCGCGCCGATCAGGTTGTCGGAGAGGTTGAGCACGGCGAGGTGCGTGTCCGCGTTGTCGCAGATGGACTGGCAGAGCGCCGTGCAGTCGTCGTCGTCGACGTCCGTGTGCGTCAGCGTCAGCGACGTGAGCAGGCAGTGCGAGTCGTTGACGAGCACGCGCAGCGCCGCGGCGCCCTCCTCGTCGAGGTCGTTGCGCGAGAGGTCCAGGGTCTTGAGGGTCAGCCGCGACAACGGCGACGCCGCGAGCTCCGCGAGCTTGCCTGTGTGCAAATCAAATCTTCAACCCGACTTCAATGTGCGCGTATTCGAATGTTTTGACACAAGCACTTCCGCCGTGCTTCGAGACCTCGCTGAGAGCAATCGATTCGTCCAAAAATCAGCCGAATCGACTTCGATTTGACCGAGCTAGAGAATTCTGAAGTTTGGCCCCGACGTCCCAGCTCACTGGTTGATTTGCACACAGGAGCTTGCGGAGCAGGGGCGCGAGCGTGCTGTCGTCGAGGTTGTTGTCGGCCAAGCTCAGGCGCTCCAGCCCCGGCAGCTGGGGCAACGCCGCGCAGAGCGCGCCGCCGATGTCGCGGCCCAGGCCCGCGCCCGTCACGTCGAGGTGCCGCTCCTGGAGGTCGATGCGCGTGAGCACGGGCCGCGGCGCGAGGCCCTTGCGGCCCATGGAGTGCAGGAACCCGCGCGCCGCGGCGCCCTCGACCGTCGACGGCGCCGTCTGGGGCCGCCGCGTCTTGCCCTGGGACACGAAGCTGTTCGTGTCGTCCTCGACCCAGCCCTGGACCGTCTCCGCGTCCGCGGGCCGGTCGTGGATGGCCTTGGCGATGTGGAAGAAGTGCTGCCGCCCGGCGAGGCCGGCGCAGTAGTCCAGCGGGTTCGCCGTCGTCGACCGCTTCGCGGACGGCGAGCACGCGCGCTCGGGCAGACCGTCGCCGCCGAGCTCCGCCCACGAGTCCTCGTCCTCGTCCCAGGCGTCGTCCAAGTAGCTCCCGGCGCTGTAGCCGCCGGCCGTTTTCGCCGTCGGCGACGCCGTCGTGCGCCGCCGGATCTCCTTGACCGTCTCGTCGGGCGGCGCCCAGCTCCCGCCGGACGCGGATTTCGCGAACGTCGAGAACTTGCCCAGCCAGCCGTCGAGCTTGCGGGCGCTCGCCTGCGTCTCCGCGGTGACGGCGCTGGCCGCCGCGGACGGCAGCGGGTCGCCGGAGGCCACGGTCCGCGGGCTCGCCGTGATCTCCGACGGCGCGCCGTCCTCGTCGTCCAACACCAGCCGCTCCCAGTAGCGCCGGGGCGGCGACACGGAGCGCGGCGGCGACGCGAGCGACGACGCGCTCCCCGTGGGCGACGCGAGCGACGACGCGCTGTCCGGGCTCGGCGGCGCCCCCATCGCTGGGGTGCCCGAGATGTGATGCCAGCGCCCAGCTCTCTCAGAGATGCGAGCGCTCTTCGTAACTCTTCAACGTTGAAGGAAACATCGCCGCTCGCGCGCGAAAGCCGCGTACGACACCAAGGGGAGGATTAGACGACGAGCGAAAAAGGCGGCTTCTCGGGTGCGGCGGCTCACATCATGCCCAGCACGGAGAGGAGGAAGACGGAGAGGATGAGGGGGATCTTCATCCGGTCCGGCGCGAACCACATGATGGGCATGATGAGGTGCATGCGCGCCATGACCACGGTCATGACGGCGCCCATGACCTGCATGAAGACCATGAAGAAGGCGAAGAACATCATCACGAGGAGCGGCGGCGGCACGGTCTGGAGCACCGCCTGGACGAACGGCGGCAGGTTGATCTGCTGGCCCTCACCCTCGTTTTCCTCGCCCGGCTGCGCCGCCTGCCGGCGCCGCCGGCCGCCGACGGGCACGCCGTTGACGAAGAACTGCGCGCCGTTGCCGCCGCCGAAGTGGAACGCGGTGCCGCGCGCGCCGCCGGGGAAGCCGCCGCGCGCGCCGCCGCCGCGCTGGTTGAAGAACTGGCGGAAGATCTCCTCGGGGTCGACGCCGTGGGCGCGCATGCCGCCGCCGCCGCCGCCGGGGAAGCCGCCCTGCTCCGCGGCGCGCGCGCCCTCCTTGCCGTAGCTGTCGTAAGCCGCGCGCTTTTGCGCGTCGCTCAGGCAGTCGTAGGCCTCGGCGACGCGCTTGAAGTTCTCCTCGGCCTGCGGGTTGTCCGGGTTCTTGTCCGGGTGGTACTTGACGGCGAGCTTGCGGTAGGCCTTCTTGATGGCGCTCTCGTCGGCGTCGCGCGGCACGCCGAGAACGCGGTAGTAGTCGTCGCTCCGCACGTTCGACGCCATGGTTTTTTTTTTCGGGTCGCGAAGGCGCGCGCGCGAAGCGTCCGCGACGCGCGGGCGCGCGTGTGTTCCCGGGGCTGTGGCGACGCGTGGAGCTGCGTAATTTACGCTGTGCCAGCGTCGCTCCAGGCTTTTTCAGAGGCAGCGCAGAGGCAGCGCTTCGGCAACACCGGTACCTGCATCGAAGTTGTTGCACCGTCGGGCTGCCTCGACGATGCGCCTCGTCGTGGCCGCCGCGCTCTGGTGCATCGCCAGACCCGACCGCGTCCCGTCGCGCAGCGAGTTCGAGGCCTACCTCCGGCGCGAGGCCGGCGCCGCGTCCAAGAAGCGGCGGCGCGGGCGCAAGGAGCCGCAGCGGTCCCTCGAGGAGATCTTCCACACCTTCGACGCCGAGGAGACGCAGCCCGACGGCTTCATGGTCGGCGGCGGCACGGACGGGACCGGGAATAAGAGGAGCTGGGAGTTCAACTCCCACGAGGCCATCAAGCGCGTGATGATGCAGGAAGCGTTCGCGAACATGAAGCACCGTTCCAACGTCACGAGCCAAATCTTGGCGGGCGGCACGTCGCCGGCCGACGCTTATATTATGGAGCAGCGTCGCAGGCGCGCGATCGAACGCGCCCGGAAGGGCGGCGACGTCTGCGCGCCCTTCGACAAGGACTGGAAGAAGACGGACGAGCTGGAATCCGGGAATTGGTCGATCCCCGAGATATCGGCGGCGCAGATGACGCCGGCGAACGTGCGACGAGCCATCAACGACTGGGGGGCGGTCATCGTGCGAGGTCTATTGCCGGACGCGGCGGAGATCGCGCGACTGCGGGACCTGATCGACCACGCGTTCGACCGCCAACTCGAGGGCACGGCCGACTACGCGCCGCCGGACGACATCTTCGAGCGCTTCGAGCACCTCGTGATGGCCGTGCTGTCGGGCCAGGGCCTGCTGGCGGTCTACTCGCCGACGGCGGCGGAGTACGTGCTCAAGGTCTTCGAGCGCGCGGGCCTGCTGGAGCTGCTCCGGGGCTACTTCGGCGACGAGCCGGCGGTGTCGACGAAGAAGTGGACGCTGCGCCGGGGCACGGGCCTGACGTTCCCGGGCTGGCACCAGGACGGCTTCTTCATGGACAAGGGCTCCCAGTACCTCAACATGTGGATCGCGCTGTCCGAGTGCGGCGCGGGCACGCCGCGGCCGGGGCTCACGGTCGTGCCCAAGCGCGTCGTCGAGTTCCTGCCCGTGCGCAACTACATCGTGCTGCGCCACAAGACGCTCCAGGAGAGGTACAACAGGCTCACCGTGACGCCCGTCTTCAAGGAGGGCGACGCCTTCTTCTTCGACGAGTACTACGTCCACTCGACGCAGTTCCACTTCGGGAACAAGGCGCCGGGCGTCTACCGCTACGCCGTCGAGACCTGGTTCCACCCGCGCTGCACCGTGGACAACGACTACTCCACGCCCATGGCCTGGGGCTGGTAACGCGAGCGAGGGTGGGGTCGGCGCGAATGCTGCACTACATCAACATTGCCCTGACGCGCATCCTGAAATCGCCGTCATCGACCTCGTCTGGCCGCGCCCGAGCTAGCTTGCCCGATCCACCGCTTCCACCCCGTCCCGATCCCCGTCGAACCTCACGCCAGGACGATGAATGCGCTCCTCGCCGCCCTGGTCTGCGTCGCCGCGTCCGCCTTCGGCCCGTCGTCGAAGCGGCTGCCGTCGGCGCCCGTCCGCGCGGCGGCGTACGGATCGCCGGAGATGAAGGTCGTGAACGTCGGCGTCATCGGCGCGGGCCGCATCGGCCTCGTGCACCTCGAGGCCATCGCCCAGTGCCAGGACGCCAAGTGCCTCATCATCAGCAACCCCACGGTGTCCAAGGCCGAGGCCGCGGCGAAGCAGTACTACGTGCCCGAGTTCTCCGCGGACGCGGACGACGTGATCAACCACCCCGACGTCGACGCCGTCTGGATCTGCTCGCCGTCCTCCTTCCACGCGGACCAGATCATGAAGGCCGCCGCCGCGGGCAAGTCCATCTTCTGCGAGAAGCCCATCGCGACGGACCTGCCCGAGACGATCGTCGCGATCAACAAGTGCGAGGAGGCCGGCGTCAAGCTCATGACGGCGCTCCAGCGCCGCTTCGACCCGAACTTCGCGCGCGTCAAGGAGGCCATCACCAAGGGCGAGGTCGGCGAGCCCATCGTCGTCAAGCTCTGCTCGCGCGACCCGAGCCCGCCGCCGTTCGAGTACGTCAAGGGCGGCGGCGGCATCTTCAAGGACATGGCCGTCCACGACCTCGACATGAGCCGCCACCTCATGGGCTCCGAGCCCATCGAGATCCTCGCCTCGGGCTCCTGCCACATCGACAAGCAGATCACGGAGCTCGAGGGCGCCGAGGCCTACGACACCGCGAACATCATCGTCCGCTACGCGAACGGCAAGGAGGCCATCATCGACGTCTGCCGCCAGGCGCCCTACGGCTACGACCAGCGCGCCGAGGTCCTCGGCACCAAGGCCATGATGCAGACGGACAACATGTACCCGAACACCGCGCGGCTCTACGCCGCCGACTTCACGGGCAACGCGGACCTGCCCTACGACTTCTTCATGAGCCGCTACAAGGAGGCCTACAAGCAGGAGACCCTCGCCTTCATCGACGCCCTCGTCAACGACAAGCCGTCGCCCTGCTCCGGCGAGGACGGCCTCATCGCGCTCATCATGTCCATCGCCGCGGGCATCTCCGCGGAGGAGCAGCGCTGGGTCAAGTTCTCCGAGGTCGCCGCCTCCGTCAAGTGCGACGAGGACGGCTGCATGATCGTCGACCTCGACGAGGACGCCCTCAAGGAGGCCCAGCAGAAGGACGAGTTCGTCGACAAGGTCAAGGAGGTCCTCCCCAACAAGGAGGAGAAGTCGGGCTGGAGGAAGGTCTTCTCCCGCTAGGCGAACCTCGACTCCGCGTACTCTCAGTAATGTGTTGCTTTCGAACTTGCTTTCGATTTTTGGTCGTCAAACCGCACCGTGGCGGCACAGTGCACCGCTTGCGGCACGATGCGTCGTTGGGCAGCCCGCGGTCGATAGCAGCGCGCTGGCTGTCGTCCCGTGGTGGCGACGATAGCAGCGCGCTGGCTGTCGTCCCGTGGTGGCGACGATAGCAGCGCGCTGGCTGTCGTCCCGTGGTGGCGGCCGCCACGTTGCTGCCTGGCGATGGCCGCCGCGTGCTGCGGCTGCCCGGTCCTCTCCGAGTGCTGGCACAGCGCGAAGATCCTGTGCTCCATCGCCGCGATGATGTGCACGCTGGCGCGCGAGGACCGCCGGAGGAGGAAGCGCCAGAAGCAGGTCGCGCCGCTGCCTCAGATGGCGGCGCCCCCGGAGGCGACGGCCGACGACCGCGCCATGGAGGGCGCCGCCTGCGAGCGCGCGGACGACGTCCGCGGCGCCATCTCCGCCTACTCGCGCGCGCTGGCCAGGGACCCGCGGCACCTGCTGAGCCTCTTCCGCCTCGGCAGCCTCTACGGGCACCACGGCAAGCCCGAGCTCGCCGTCGTCTACCTGCGCCGCGCGCGCGCCGCGTCCCCGGACCACGCGGCGACGGCGCGGCTGCTCGAGGAGCTCGAGAACACCGTCGACGTCGGCGAGCTCGAGATCCCCCTGCTCCAGGAGGGCGACGCGCCGCCGTTCCTAGAGGACGGCCCGCTCCTCGGCGAGACGGCGCGGCTCGCGGGGCGGTAAAATTAACAGAGGGGGGCTAGCAGCCGTGCTCGCAGAGCCATCGCTCCGCGTCCATGGCGGCCATGGCGCCCGTGCCCGCGGACGTGATCGCCTGGCGGTAGACGGCGTCCTGGACGTCGCCCGCGGCGTAGACGCCCGTCACGGAGGTCACGGTGGAGCCCGGGAGCGTGTAGATGTAGCCGTCCTCGTCCTTGCGGACCTCCGTGAAGAGCTCCGTGTTCGGGTTCATGCCGATGGCCACGAACGCGCCGTCGACCGACAGCGACGTCTCGCTCGCCGTGCCGCCCTGGGGGTCCGTGACGAGCTCGACGGCGTTCAGGTTGCCGTCGTCGCCCGCGAGGAAGCGCGAGATCACCGTGTCCCAGAGGATGAGGATCTTCGGGTGCTTCAAGACGCGCGTCGCCATCGCCTTCGACGCGCGGAAGCTGTTCTTGCGGTGCACGACGTAGACGCGGTTCGCGATGCGCGCGAGGAAGAGGGCCTGCTCCATGGCCGTGTCGCCGCCGCCGACCACCACGACGTCCCGGTCGCGGTAGAAGTAGCCGTCGCACGTCGCGCACGTGTGCACGCCCCTGGAGAGGAGCTCGCGCTCGCCCGGCGCGCCGAGCCAGCGCGGCGACGCGCCCGTGGCCACGACCAAGGCCGACGTCGTGAACACCTCCCCGTCCTCGCAGTAGATCTTGAAGGGCCGGCACGACAGGTCGACGCGCTCGATGCCGCAGTGTTTGTAGTCCGCGCCGAAGCGCGCCGCCTGCTTCTCGAGGCGCTGGATCAGCTCCACGGCGTCGACGCCGTCCTCGAAGCCCGGGTAGTTGTGCACGCTCGACGTGCCCTCGAGCTGGCCGCCGTCGCGCGCGACGATGAGGGGCGCCATGTCCGCGCGCGCCGCGTAGACGGCCGCGCTGAGGCCCGCGGGCCCGCCGCCGACGATGACGATCTTGCGGTCCGCCTTGACGATGCGCGTCGTCAGCGCGTCGGCGGCGCACTCGAGGTTCGCGATCTCCGACGCGTTCGACGCGCCGACGGTGATGGGCTCGGCCAGCTTCTCCTTGACGGCGTCGCGGGCGGGGATGACGACGGAGTCGAAGAACGTCTCGTAGACGCGCTCCTCGTCCGCGGCGAGGTCCACGTCCTGGTCCTTATTTTTTGGGCTCCAGGGGTGCTGGGCCGACGCCAAAGCGGCGAGCCCTAGGGCTAATAACCTCATCGACGATTGCCTCGTCATGAATAAGCGCCTCATCGACGAGCGCCTCGTCATGCCTCGGCCGAAGTGGCGAATCAGCAACCGATTGATCGAGTCGATGTTGCACCATGCAGTCCTCGGTGACTCCAAACCGATGTTGCAGACTCCATCTTCGGTCGGTGCAACTCAAAGCTCGTAGTTGCCGCATATGCGGGCAGCCCGCGCCAAGGTCCTCGTCTTTCTGGCGCCGCAGCGCACGACCGCCACCCGATTCTTTGCACGCCCGCGGCGATGGCGAATCCCATCCGCACGGCGCTCCAGTACGTGCTCGTCTACGGCTACACCATCTTCGTCATGCTGGGCATGGGCGCCTCCATCGACGTCGACATCGTGGCCGAGGTCAAAAAGGCGCCCAAGGCCGTGCTCTGCGGCGTCGCGTCCCAGTACTGCTTCATGCCCTTCGCCGCCTGGTCCCTGAGCCTGCTCTTCGACCTCGGCACGTCGGAGGCGCTGGCCGTGGTGCTCATCGGCATGTGCCCCGGCGGCGTGACGTCGACGCTCTTCACGTACCTGAGCCACGCGAACGTGACGCTGAGCCTCGTGATGACGACCTGCTCGACGTTCGTCGCGCTGCTCATGATCCCGCTGCTCCTGTTCATCTACGTGCGCCCGCCGCTCATCTCCAAGGGCGAGGACGGCGCGGACGTGTCGTTCGCCGCGGTCATCGTCACGCTGCTCGTCGCCACGGTGCCCGCCATCGTCGGCTGGCGCCTCCGCCGCAGCAACCCGGAGCTCGGGGAGAAGGTCGAGAAGTTCGCCACGAAGCTCGGGTCCCTCCTGATCTTCGGCGTGCTCGTCTTCGCGTTCGCGTGGCCGGGGCCGGGCGGCTACGGCATGACGGCCAAGTGCTTCGCGGTCATGGTCCTCATGTGCCCCTGCGGGTTCCTCCTGGGCTACGGCTTCGGCCTCGCCTGCGGCATGGACCAGATCACCTGCCGCACGATCTCCATGGAGACGGGCATCCAGCAGGTCGGCATCGCGGGCGCGATCGCGATCCAGTCCTTCGAGGACGACCAGCTCGACCGCACGATCGTCGTCATGGTCATGTTCGGCGTCGCGACGGTCATCTTCGGCGCGCTCTGGGCGCTGATCCTGCGCAAGGCCTTCGACCCGCCCGCGGCGAAGCTCGACCCGTCGGACGACAAAACCGTCGACCCGTCCGCGATCGCGCTCGGCGACAAGGGCTTCGACGACCACGACGTCTGAGCGCGCCTGGTTCGTCGCGGCGGGAGCCTAACCTTATTTGGAGCCCCCGGAGTTCGCGCGCTTGCGTTTCTTCAGCTTCGCCTTGAGGTCCCCCTTGCGGCTCGCCGCCGGCCGCGCCGCCGCCTCGGCCGTCCGCTTCGCCGCCTTCGGCGGTTTCGCCGCCGCCGGCTTCGCCGCCGGCTTCGCCGCCGGCTTCGCAACCGGCTTCGCCGCCGGCTTCGCGACCGCCGGCGCGGCGGCGCGGCGCGCGGGCGCCGCCGCGAGGCACGTGAGCCGCGCGTTGACGCCCGCGGCGGCCGCGTCGGGCTCCGCGTCGTCGTCGTCGCCGCCGCCGCCGCCCGGCCGCCAGGTCTCGACGGCGCCCGTCGACGTCGCCGCGAGGATCGCCGACGCCGCCGCCCAGGCGCCCAGCGCCGCCGCGTCCGCGGCCGCGAACGCGTCGTCGTCGGCGGCGGCGCCCGCCGCGAGGCGCGCGCACGTCAGCGCCTTGACGCGGCCCGGCGTCTTGGCGCCCCTGCGTTTCCGGCGCCAGACGAGGTCGCCGTCGTCGGCGGAGAAGACGGAGAGCGCCCCGGAGCCGTCGCAGGCGGCGACGAAGGGCGCGCCGTCGAGGAACCGCGCGTCGATGACCGCCGCGCCGACGGCGACGTCCGCGAGGACGCCGTTGTCCTCGACGCCGCGCACCTCGATGCGGCTCCCGAGGACGACGCCGTAGCAGGACCCGTCGCTCGCCCAGAAGACGCGGCTCGCCTCGCCCTTGGTCCGCGTGATGAACGCGCAGCGGCCCTCGACGAGGTCCCAGAGCCGCAGCGTGCGGTCCGCGCCCGCGGTGAGGCACATGCGCCCCGACGGGTGCGGCGCCAAAGAGCGGATCTCGCCCTTGTGGCCGCCGAAGACGTGGACGCAGACCCAGTCGCTCGCGCGCCAGACCGCGAGCGTGCCGTCGGCCGAGGCCGAGACGGCGTGCTTCGCGCCGCACCACGCGAGGCCCGTCACCGTGCCCTTGTGCTGGCTCAGCTCGCCGACCTGGCGGCCGGATCGCAGGGAGTAGACGCGGATCTTCTCGTCGTCGCCGCCGCTCAGCAGCGTCTTCTCGCTCGCGGCGACGCAGCGGCAGCAGCCGTCGTGCGCGGCGAAGGAGAAGGTCAGCTCGCCCGTCGACGCCTCGCCGAGGCGCCAGCCGTGCAGGCCGCCCTCGTAGGAGCCGGCGATGACGACGCCGTGGCTGCCCTCGAGGCTGTTGGACCGCGCCCGGCCGGTCGGCTCGGCGCTCGACGACATCGCGCCTCTTCGATCACTCGCCGCCAGCGGCAAGGCGGGCAAGGTCGGCCGCAACACGCGCAACAAACCGCTGTTGCGCGCTATCACGATGGTCTCCGTGGGCTCGGCCTCCGGGGCCCCCCACGACGACACGACGGTGCGGAGCGTGGACACGGCGGCGTCGCCCGACGCGCCCATGGAGACGACGAAGCGCCTCGACTCCATCATGTCGAGCTTTGACGCCTTCGACACGGACATGAAGGTGGGCACGCGCCAGCGGCGCGAGAAGGACGAGTTCAAGGTCTTTTTGATGAAGAAGCAGATGGCCCAGCTCGAGCGCCAGCTCAACTCGGAGATCAAGCGGCGCACGGAGATGAACAAGTCCATGCAGACGTGGACGGACCAGCAGATCGCCGAGACGCGCGCGGGCTTCGTGCGACAGGTCGGCGAGCGGCGCGTCAAGCTCGCGGAGCGCGTCGACGCGCTCCGGGAGCGCATCTCGGACATGAAGAAGCGCTTCGACGTGGACATCGAGGCCATCCCCGTCGACATCGAGAGCCGCGGCCGCGAGCTCGCGAGCCGGCTCCACGGGTCCATGGAGGAGTTCGAGATCGAGTCGAAGAGCCGCCTCGAGCGCGAGGCCGCGATCCTGAAGCGCCTCGCGGACAACGAGTCGTCCGTCGCGAACCAGTTCGACGCGGACCGCACGGCGCGCGAGAAGCACTACGTGCGGCTCCGGGAGACGCTCGAGGGCCACGTGAAGCGGCGGGGGAAGACGGACGAGAAGCTCAAGACGAAGCTCAACGAGGAGCTGGCGCGGCTGAAGAACACGATCACCATGGAGTCGAAGATCCGCTGGCGCGAGGACGCGGAGCTCGCCGCGGCCATGAACGGCTACGTGGAGAAGCTCCAGCAGTCGCTCTACATCGTCAACTCCGACATCGTCTAGGAACGTAAACCGACGTTTACGCGGGACCCTCACTGGGCGCCGAGCTCCGGGCTCGCACCGGCGAGGCCCGTGATCGCGCCCTGCTCCGCGTCGTCCGTGAGGCGCATGATGCGGTCGAGGGGCTCCGCGAGGTAGTCGAACTGGGAGCTCAGCGCCATGATGACGTTGCGGACCTGCTTGAGGCCGTCGTTGGAGTTGACGAGCTCCATCTCGACGTCGGCGGCGTGCTCCTCCGTGAGGGGCTCGATGAGGCCCCGCTCGAGGTCGAGGTAGCGGCTCGCGGTGTGCTCGCGCGCCGTCTGGAGCTCCGCGCGGCGCTGCTTCTCGTAGAGCAGGCCGTTGATGGACGCCTGGAGCCGCTGGGCCTCGCCCTCGAGGTCGCCGTAGCGGCTCGTCGCCGCCGTCAGGTTCTGCGTCGACTCCTGGAGCTCCTTCTGGCGGTTCATGATCGCGTTCGAGAGCTGGCTCGCGTCGCGCGCGGTGACCTGGATCGTGCGCCGCAGGTTTCCCACCTGCTTCTTCAGCGACGCCTTGGTGTGCTCCACCTGCGTCGGCCGCTGCTTGCCCTTGAAGCGCAGCGTGATGGCCTCGCGCTTGCCGATGCCGCGCTCCATCTCGACGATCATGCGCTCCTGCTCGCGCTGGAGCCCGTCGAGGCGCAGGCGCATGCGGTGGATCTCGATCTCCATGGCCTTGATCTCCGACATGCCCACCTCCGGGTCCAGCGCCGCCTGGGTCTCGCGCTCGAGCTGGATCTTCTTCTCCCAGAGCATGACCTGCCGCTCCGTGTCGACGACCTCTTCCAGTAAAGCGGCCTTGGCCTGCTTCGTGTCGAAGACGCGCTTCTCCATGGCCAGCGACTCGTCCTCGAGCTCCTTGAGCTCGCTCTGGAACTCCATCTCGGTGACCGCGGTCTCGTTCGCGAGCGCCTCCTGCTGCGTCGCGTGGCGGCCCAGGAGGTCGTTCAATCTCGCGACGTCCGCGCGCATGGCCTTGATGTTGTTCTGGAGGGCCGTGACCTCGACGGTGCGCTTCGACGCGTCCTTGAGCAGCTGGAGCCGCCGCTCGTTCAAGATGCGCGCGCGCGCGCGGAGCTCCGCGTTCTTTTCCAAGGTGACCTCGGTCTGCTGCGCGGCGCTCACGAGGAGCGTCTGGTCCGCGAGCCAGGCGCCCTGGAGCTGCGTCGCCTCGACGGCGATGGACTCCTTCTCCTTGTTCAGGTTCCGGATCGTCGCCTCCAGGGGGCCGACGTGCTCGCCGTCGTCCGCGTGCTCCATCATCTTCTCGTACTTGCGGTTGAGGCGGTCGACGCGGTACATCTTCTTCTCGATGTCGTCGTTGCGCTGGCGGATCTCCTGCTGGTACTTGGCGATGAGCTCGTCCTGGGTCTTGAGCTTGCCGACCATGCCCTCCAACGTTTCCCGGAGCTGCGAGTTGTGCGCGTCCGTGTTCAACGTGTCCACGCGGATGCGGCTGAGCTCGTTCTCGAGGTGGGCCTGCGTGATCTCCTTCTCGTGCGTGCGCTCCTTGACGGCCAACGCCTGCTTCTGCAGGTTGCGCACGGCCTTGGTCACCGTCATGCTCGCGGACCGCGCGGCGAGAATGCGCTGCTCGATCTTCATGCGCTCGACGGTGACGATCTGGATGTTCTGGGCGAGCTGCTCGAGGGAGTCGCCGGAGCCCTTGGCCTCGCCGGCGACCTTGGCCTCCTCCTCCTCCGTGTGGACCATGGAGCGCTGGAGGAGGGCGAACTGCGCGGACACGGCCTCGCAGTCCGCGACGACCTGGCCGATGGCCTCGTCGAGGCCCTGCTCCTCGCGCGCGAGGCGGTCGCGCACGACGACGAGGGACTCGTTGTCGGCCTTGACGCCTAAAGCCTCGCGCTTCGTGCCGTCGATCTCCGTCTGGAGGTCCCGGAGCTCCATGCGCGCGGCCTGCAACGTCTGCGTCGCGGCGGAGAGCGCCTCGTCGCGGCGCGTGAGCTGCACGAGGGACGCCTTCCACTGCTGGATGAGCTGCTTCTTCTCGAAGGCGATGAGCTCCATCTCCTGGCCCGTCTCCGCGAGCATGCCCCGCGCCTCGTCGGACTCGGCCTTTTGCTTCGCGAGCTGCGTCTCGTGCACGGCGATCTGCTCGCCGAGCTGGCGCACGCGCTCGTCCAACGAGTTGATGTAGAGGTCCTGGCCCTTCTTCGCGTGCTCCAGGGACTGGACGTTCTCCTCGGCCTTGTAGGTCGCGCGCTTGGTGACGGCGATCTCCTTGCGCATCTCCTCGTTGTACTTCTCGACCTGGCGGAGCGTGTCGTTGACCGCGTCGAGCTCGGCCTGGTTCTTCGCGACGTGCTTCTTCCGGTCCTGCAACGCCTTGTTGAGGGAGCCGTGGCGGCTCCGCGCCTCCTGGGCGCCGACCTCCTCGGCGGACCGCTTCTCCGCGAGCTCGCCCGCCGTACTGTGGAGCGCTTCGAGCGCGAGCTGGAGCCGCGCGAGCTGCTGCTGCGTGCCGTAGAGCTCGACGCCCGTGTCCTCGCGCGTCCGCGAGCTCAGGGACACCTCGTGGGCCTTCTCGCGCGCCTCGAGCGCCGTCCGCTCGTACTCCCGCTGCAGCGTCTCGAGCAGCGCGCGCTGCACGCGGTCCATCATGGGGTGGTTCGCGAAGTCGCGCACGAGCTCCGCGTTCTCCTCGTCGCCGGCCTCGTCCTCGCCGCCGTCCGGGGGCGGACCGCCGCCGCCGCCGTCGCCGCCGCCGCCGTCGTAGGCGTCGTACATCTCCGGCGCCGGCGCCGGCATGGGCGCGCCGCCGCCGCCGCCGTCGAAGTAGCCGTCGCCGCCGTCGCCCGGGGGCTTGCTCACGGACCCGGCGCCGCCGTCGCTGCCGTCGGGCGCCGCCGCCGGCGGGTCCGCGTCGGCCATGGCACCCGGGCAACGCGAGGCTGGGGCCGTATAGCGGCGCTTGCCCGCTCGTTTCGAGCGCCCGGTATCTTCGAAGCCGATACTTACCTCGGCTTGCTGGACGATGGTGGTTTGCTAGCGCGTCCCCATGGCCAACTTCCACGACAACGTCGGCCGGCCGCTGGCGCCGCACGCGCCGGCCTACGCGCGCGAGTACACGCAGACGCTCTTCGTCGGCGTCGCGAAGAAGGTCAAGGTGCCCTGGCGGCTGCCCGGCACGGTCTGGCTCTGGAGCTGCCGGCCGGACCACGTCGAGGTCGGCGTCCCGCGCTTGGACCTCGACCCGGCGCCCTACGGCGAGGACTGGTGCGGCGGGAAGATCCCGCTCGTCTTCCCGCCCTGGGACGCGCCGGGGTTCAAGACCGTCGACGTCGTCGTGTCGGCCGCGCCGCCGGAGTTCACGAACGCGCGCCAGTACGTGCTCCGCTTCCACCTGACCTACATCGACCCGACGTCGCACGCGGACCAGCCGGAGGAGATGGCCGCCGCCGACGCCGCCGAGCGGCGCACCACGAAGGCGCGGCTCGACGAGCTCGAGCGGCTCGCGACGGCCGAGCGGCTCGTGCGCCTCAACCGCGAGTGCTCCGAGCTCCACGCCCAGCGCCTCGCGTCGCCCGCCGCCTCCTTCTTCCAGGGCTCCGTCGCCCAGTCGTCGGAGATCGCCCAGCTGCGCGAGGAGCTCGACGGCCTCAACGCGTCGCTCCGGTCCGCGTTCCTGCCGGCGGCGCGCGAGGCGCCGCACCGCGAGGCGCACCGCGAGGCGCCGCCGCCCCAGTCGTCCTACGCCTCGTACCGCGAGGCGCCGCCGCCGCAGCAGGCGCCGCCCCAGTCGTCCTACGCCTCGGTGCAGACCCAGTCCGTCGCGTCGCGGGGCCGCCGGCGGAAGCCCAAGGCGACGCCGATGAAGGACGGCTGGTACGCGGCCTACGACTACGGCGTCGCGCGGCCCTACTACTTCCGGCCGGGCAGCGACGTCGTCCAGTGGCAGCCGCCGCCGGGCCAGCCCGCGTGCCTCGTGTCCCACGGCAAGAGCCCCTACCGGGAGCAGGTCGCCGCGACCTACTCCCACCAGTCCCGGGGGGCCCGGGACCGCGTCGCCATGCTCGAGTCGCCGGCGCCCTCGGAGATCGGCGATTAACTTCTCGACATTAGCGGTGGACGACGTCGACGCCCGTGCCCGCGAACACGGTCCGCCGCAGCTCCGGGTGCGCGACGGACGTGTCCGGCGCGCGGGACCGCCGCTGGTCCTCCCGCGCCGCGCGCGCGGTGAGTTGGACGTCGAGCGCGTGCTGGAATTCGCCCTCGAGGCGCCTGAGCTCGTCGTCCGCGTTTCGCTTTTGTTCCGCCGCGGCCCGCATCTCCGCCTCGGCCTTTCGGAGCGCGTCCGCCCGCGCGACGTCGATGTCCGGCGCGGCCGGCAGCTGCAGCCGCCCCACCGGTGGCCGCGGCGCCACGACCGGCTGCGGTGCCGCGACGGGCTGCGCCGCCGCGACCGGCGGCGGCGCCGCGACCGCCGGCCGCGGCGGGCGCGCCGAGACCGCCGCGACCGGCGGCGGCGCCGAGACCGCCGGCCGCGGCGGGCGCGCCGAGACCGCCGCGACCGGCGGCGGCGCCGCGACCGCCGGCCGCGGCGGGGGCGCCGGCCTTTTGGCTTCCGCGGGCGGCGCGGCCAGGCGCTCCGTGTCGCCTCGGGCCAGGGCGACGACGGACGACGCCTTGGGATCGTCGTCGTCGTCGGACGCGTCCGCGCGCTTCCGCTCGAGCGCCAGGCGCCTGGCGTCCGAGCCGGGCTTCGCGTCGTCGTCCTCGACGCCGCCGGGCTTCGCGTCGTCCCCGTCGCTGTCGTCCTCGACGCCGCCGGGCTTCGCGTCGTCGTCCTCGACGCCGCCGGGCTTCGCGTCGTCGTCGTCGACGCCGCCGGACTTCGCGTCGCGCGGGGTCGGCGCGACGATCTTGAGCGTCGGCAGCGGCGGCGCGTCCGCGGACACGCGCACGCCGACGGCCCGGGGCAGCGGCGGCGCGCCCGGCGCGACGGGCACGCCGACGACGCGGAGCGTCGGCGGCGCCGGCGCGGGGATGGGCGCGGCGCGCGCGGCGGCGGCGGCGGCCGAGGCCGCGACCGCGCCGCGCGCCGCCTGGGCTCTCGTCTCGGCCTCGACCGCGGCGACCGACGCCGCGACCGCGCGGCTCTCGGCGCAGGCCCGCTCCTCGTCCTCGAGGTCCAGGAGGTCCGCGATGGCCACGGCGCACGCCGCGGCGGCGGAGCAGCCCCGCAGGGACGTCGCGTCGAGGTCGAGCCGCGCCTTCGCTCGCCGCGCGGCGCGGATTTCGAAGTAGGCCAGGCCGAGCGGCCCGTCGCCGACGGCGTCCGCCAGCGGCGCGAGCCGCCCGAGGCTCAGGAGGCGCGCGTCCGACACCTTGGACGTGAGCGCGCCCAGCGCCCGGGCGAGCGCCCCGCCCGCCGCGGCGGCCTCCAAGTTCGCGCGCTTCCGGCGGAAGGCGTCCGCGGTCTCGACGTCGGCCCCGACGTCCGCCGGCGCTTCGTCCGCGCGCCGCGCCGCGAGGCGCGCCCAGGCGGCCTCGAAGGCCTCGCTCGGCCTCCGGCCCGCGGCGAGGCCCGCCGCCTGCGGGCCCACGAGCTCGACGACGTGCAGGGCCCAGGGGAGGAGCTGCATCTGCGCCGCGTCCAGGTGGGCGCCCGCCGCGCTCGCCTCGGCGATGCTCGCGGCCTCCGCGTAGGCCGTGAGCACGGCGTCCGCGCCGCTCCAGGGCGGCGCCGGCGGCGCCGCGACGGGCGGCGTCGACGGCGGCGCGGGCGGCGCGTAGCCCGAGGCCGCGGGAGTCGACGTCGGCCGCGGCCGCTCGCGCGGGACCGGCAGCGCGACGAGGAACCGGTGGCCGGGCCCGCAGCCGGGGGGCACGTCCGTGTGGAAGCGGCGGCCGAGGGCCGTCACGGCGATCTGCCCGCCGCGCCAGCCGTCCGGGACCGTGACGGTGCACATGCCGCCGGACGCGTCGATGGACGGCGGCAGCGTGACCGTCGCGACGCCGCCGCGGGACCCGTGCACCGTCGCGACGTCGTAGCACGGCGAGGCCACGGCCACGGGCGACGACGGCGGCGACATGGAGAGCCGCAGCGCGCGGTCGAGGTCCGACTCGCGCGGCGGCGACGCGACGGCGACCGGCGACGACGGCGGCGACATGGAGAGCCGCAGCGCGCGGTCGAGGTCCGACTCCCGCGGCGGCGCCGCGACGGCGACCGGCGGCGCCGCGAGCGGCGCCGCGATCCGGGCGACGAGCGCGGGGTCGCCGAGCGCGTCGCCGCCCCGCGCCTCGAAGACGACGCCGTCGACGACGAGGAGGAAGCGGTCGACGGGCTCGGCCTTGGGCGGCAGGCCGAGGACCTCCTTGACGCCGAAGGCGTGGCCGAGCGCGGCCCACGCGAGCGTGTTCTCTTCGGCGGTCCGCTCGCTCACGAGAGCCACGCCGCTCCGGCCGTCGAAGGAGACGTCGCGCTTGCCCGACTTCATGGACGCCGTGAGCACGACGACGTGGGGCGGGGGTTGTTGTGGAAGGGAGAAAATCCAGGTCATCTGGACCTTGGAGTTCTTGTCCATCTTGCCGACCTTCTTGACCTCCAGCGACACGCGGCCGACGACGACGTCCGCCATGTTAGGCCCTTGTTGCCCTCAGAGCTCGCGACGACGTTCCTGGGCTGCCCCAGGCATCGCGCCGGGAAGCCACATTGAAATGCACGGCACCATTGCGGCACCATTCGCCCGAAGCAGCAGATGAAGCGAGCTTCGATCGGCGCCGGCGCACCAAGCTTCGCAGCAGCTCTGGTGCCGCGTCGTCGCGCGGAGAAATGGCCGCCGCGCCGGCGGATGTCGAGAACCCCCTGCTCGCCGCCGACGCGCCGGCGGACGTCGAGGTCGAGCTCGCGGAGACGGGCGGCGGGAGCGGCGGCGGGAGCGCCCCGGCCTTCGAGGTGCCCGAGCCGCTGGAGCGGGAGGAGCCGAGCGCCGGGGCGCGGCGGGGGCGGCGGCTCCTGCGGCTGCTCAACGTGTCGGACCCGTCGGTTTTATTCTACGGCGCGTGCCTCGTGAACCTGCCGCAGGTCGTCGTACTCGCGTGCGTCTTCTTCTTCGAGTGGGACGCGGATCTCGACGTCTGCGACGCGACGGCGCGCGCGCAGTGGCGCGTCTGGGGCTTCTTCCACGGCCTGCGGCTCGCGGCGACGACCGTCGTCGCCGGCCTGCGGTGGCGCTTCGCGCCTCGGCCGCCGCCGGACGCGGACCGCGCGTCGCGGCGCCGCTACCTGGTCATGGTCACGAACGCGCGGAATTCGCTCGACGCGCTCGCGCTCATCTGGTTCGTCGTCGGCAACATGTGGCTCCTCGGCGGCGCCGACGACAGCTGCGCCGAGGCGGGCAAGAGCCCCATCTACGTCACGGACGTCGTCATGCTCGTCGTCCAGTACGGCCAGATCTGCCTGCCATGCATCTTCGCCATCGCCATGGTGCCCGTCTTCTGCTTCTGCCTGCCCTGCGTCATCCGCCTGCTCGCGTCGCTCCACGACCCGGTGGCGGGCCGCGGCGCGACGAAGCGCGATCTCGCGCGGCTCCCGACGGTCCCCTACAGCGAAAACATGGAGCTGCTCAAGGGCGAGGACCCCTGCTGCTCCGTGTGCATCTCCGACTACGAGAAGGGCGACAAGCTCCGCGTGCTGCCCTGCAAGCACCTCTTCCACGTCGACTGCGTCGACCAGTGGCTCTCAGTCAACGCGACCTGCCCGCTCTGCCGCAAGTCGATCTTCGTCGACGACCCGGAGGAGCCGGACGAGGAGGCGCCGCCCGAGGCCGCGGACGTCGACGACGACGACGACGCGGCCGCGCCCGCCGGCGACGACGGCGTCGACGCGGCCCGCGTCGTCGCGTCCATCACGTGACGCGCGCATCCTCGCCTCGATCCCTTTAACCTGCTCGATTTACGCCTCGAAAACGTCAACTAATTTACTTGCAGGGCAAGCAGAGTCGGCGCGCGCGCGCGGCTGCACATCGCATACAACACGATGGCGTCCGACGACTCGTCGTCGTCGTCGTCGAGCGACGACGAGAAGAAGCGGAAGCGAGAGAAGAAGGAGAGCAAGAAGCGCAAGAAGAAGGAGAAGAAGGAGAAGAAGAAATCTAAAAAGCACAAGCGCAGCCGGTCCGAGGACGCGCCGGCGCCGGCGCGCGGGCCGGCCGTCGCCGTCGCCGCGGAGGACCGCATCGACGACGACGACTTCTTCGTCAAGTCCGAGGAGTTTCGCGTCTGGCTGCACGAGAGCAAGCGCGTCTACCTCGACGACCTGGCGACCGACGACGCGCGCGACCGCTTCCGGGCCTTCGTCGGCGCCTGGAACGACGGCCGCCTCGATCGCATGTACTACGACGGCATCCCGTCCAACGTGCGCGACCGCTGCAAGCGCACGCGCCACGCGTGGAACTTCAAGCTCTCGGACGAAGAGCGGTGGAATCTCGCGTCGACGAAGGACTCCATCGACGGGCAGACGCGGCGGGCGAACCCGGCCGCCATCCGGCAACTCCCGACGGCCGCGCCGACGCCCGGCGCCGGCGCCGCCGCGCCGCGGCAGCGGCTCATGCTCTCGCAGCGCGACGCCGCGGAGACGGACCGGCTCGCGGAGCAGATCCGCGCGCAGACGGGGGGCTCGCGGCTCCAGATCGCGCCCCGTAAGGACTAGGCCGATCGGACGAGGCATGGGGCGGGCGCGCGTGCGCGTCGCCCGCTCTCGAGCGCGGGGTGAAGCGCCCTGGCTTACGCGCGCCGGCGCGCCTGTTTTGTCGCGCTGCCGCTCATCACACAACCTTGACTCGCTTCGCCTGGCTTCATGGGGCCGCGGGCGGCGCGACGGGCTTGTACATGAGCGTCGCGTCGCCGACGGCGTGCTTGAGGCCCGCGGAGAAGGACGGGTCGACGTTCTGCTTGGCCTTCATGGCGGCGCTCATGACGGCGTGGTGGGCGAGCAGCGCGTCCGTGTAGTCCTCCTTGGTCTTGAAGGGCGAGCCGGGCGTGCCGAAGGGCTTGCAGCGCTGGCAGAGGCAGTAGTTCGAGATGAGGTCGATGATCTTCGCGCAGTGCTCCTCCTTGGTGTTGATCCAGCGGGTGATCTGGTTCAGCACGAGCGGGCCCTCGGACATCTTGCCGTAGAGCTCCTGGATCTGCGCCATGGCCTTCTCGATCGTCGCGCACGCCTCGAGGAGCTCCGCGACGAGCTTCGGGTCGTCGAAGATGCCGCAAGGCACCTGGCAGTGGCCGCCGCGAAGACGAAGGACGAGGTGGAGCGTCGACTCCTTCTGGATGTTGTAGTCGCTGAGCGTGCGGCCATCCTCGAGCTGCTTGCCCGCGAAGATCAGGCGCTGCTGGTCCGGAGGGATGCCCTCCTTGTCCTGGATCTTCTGCTTCACGTTGTCGATCGTGTCGCTGGGCTCGACGTCGAGCGTGATGGTCTTGCCCGTGAGCGTCTTGACGAAGATCTGCATGGTGGCTGTTTTTTGAAGGCGGCGGCGAGGCGGCAGTCGGCGGAGCTGGTGGGCGCGATGGAGTGATTGGGCGCGAGGCTCTGGATCGATGGCTTCGCGGTCGGCAACATCCCCTCGCCACAGCAACACGAACTGCTTGAGCCATCTCCCTTGGCAGCCTCGGAAATATGGTCATCATGGACCGCCGCCCGTCGGGGAAGGCGGCGGTGCTGAGCTTCCCGGAGACGGAGCGCCTCAGCAGCGCCAACCTCATGGCCGTGCCCATGTACCTCCAGCACGGGTTCACGAGCATCTGCACGGCGTCGGCGCTGGCGGAGACGGGCGCGCTGCGCTACATGATGGAGCACGAGCGCTGGAGCCTGCGGAGCCTCTGCGAGGGCCTCAAGCTCCAGCCGGGCTACACGAAGAGCTGCGTCCACCTGCTCGTGTCCCTCGACCTGCTCGTCGACGAGGGCGGCGGCGGCTACCGGCGGGGCCGCGACTTCGACGACTTCGTGCGGCTGCCCTTCGAGTCCATCGAGAAGTACCTCAGCTACGACTTCGCCAAGGTCTTCGACCAGAACGTCAACGGCTTCTTCGCCCAGATCGACCTCACGGGCCCGAAGCTGCCGCGGGTCCAGCTGCTCCTCGAGAGCTTCTACCTCGCGCCCATCGTCATCTACCTCCGCATGTACGTCCAGGGCACGTCCGAGGCCTTCAAGACGACGCACCTGCGCCTGGACGAGTCGTCGCTGGGCCCCAGCGTCCTCGCCATCTTCCAGGGCCTGGGCTGGTGCGCGGACAACACGTCGAAGCTCACGTACATGGGCACGTACGTGCTCTCGACGGCGCTCAACGCGGGCGTGCCCATCTCCTACTATCCCATGTTCCAGGAGCTGCCGAAGATCCTGATGGGCGACGGGTCCATCTTCGCGGCCCAGGAGGCCGACGGCCACGAGGTCCACGTCGACCGCGTGCTCAACGTCATCGCGTCGGGCGCGCAGCACAAGCGCTTCTTCGAGCACATGTGCAACGGCGTCTTCAACCGCGTCTTCGACGACCAGCCCCTCGAGGACCAGCCCGCGGCCGTCGCCGACATGGGCTGCGGCGACGGGCGCCTCCTGCTCACTCTGTATGAATACGTCCGGGACCACACGAAGCGCGGCAAGCACCTCGACAAGTTCCCGTTCACGGTCATCGGCATCGACTTCAACTACGAGTCGCTCGACGTGACCAAGGAGACCCTCGGGTCCCGGAACATCCCCTTCGAGGTCCAGTGGGGCGACATCGGCGACCCCGACGCGGCCATGGACGAGCTCGAGAAGCGGGGCTTCCCGCGCGACAGCGTGCTCCACGTGCGCACGTTCATCGACCACGACCGGCCGTACATCGCCCCGAAGCGGCCCGGCGACGACTACGCCATGTACGCCCACGGCGTCTACAACAAGAACGACGGCACCATCATCGACCCGTCGACGATGCTCCAGTCGTTGGTCGAACACCTCGAGCGCTGGAGCGACGCCGTCGGCGTCCACGGCATGTGCATCCTCGAGGCGGGCCAGCTCCCCGCGCGGCTCGCGGGGCAGCACATGGAGCAGTGCGTGAGCCTGGCGTTCGACAACTGCCAGAGCCTGAGCCACCAGTACCTCGTGCCGCTGCCCCAGTGGCTGCTCTGCGCGGCGGGCGCGGGCCTCTTCCCGGACGTCACGTCGCTGCGCGCGTTCCCGGACAACGTGAGCCGCATCATGCTGAGCCACTTCAAGCCGCGGGGGTACAAGGTGCGCCACGCGCGGCCGAGCGACCTGACGCGGTGCCTCGAGCTCGAGGCCAAGTCCTGGGACCCGGACATGCGCACCGCGCCGTCGGTCATCGAGCGCCGCATCGCGGACCGGCCGACGTGCAACTTCGTCATGACGCGCGACGGCGCCGTCGTCGGCGTCGTCTTCTTCCAGTTCTTGGACGACGTCGACGCGCTCCTGCGGAGCACGTGGAAGAAGAAGGACGCGCTCGGCAAGGAGTCGGGCCCGCGGATCCAGCTCCTGGACATCTTCGTCGACTCGCAGGTGTCGTCGACGATGGGCGGGTCCATCGGCCAGGAGCTGCGGGACTTCGTCATGTGCTACGCGCGCGTGCTGCGGAACGTCACGGAGATCTGCGGCGTCACGCGCGCGCGGAACTTCCGCGCGTTCGCCGACAAGGGCGAGACGTACGAGAAGTACTGCCTCCGGAACAACGGCGTCCACGACAGCGGCCTCGCCCTCCACTCGCGGGCCGGCGCGACGCTCCACAAGGTCGTCCACAACTGGCGGCCCGAGGACGGCGACAACGACGGCAACGGCGTCTACATGTCCTACGCCGTCGGGCCGCCGGCGCCGCGCCAGGCGAAGCCGCCCGCGCCGCCCGCGAAAGCGACCGGTGTCAAGCCCCCGGCGGCGCCGTCGCCGCCCGCGTCGCCCTCGAAGAAGAAGAAGAAGGAGAAGGTGGCGAAGAAGTCGAAGTGGCCCGCGTACGTGCCGCCGCCCTGCGTCCGGCCCGAGCCCAAGCCGCTGCCGAACAACCCGCTGCGCATCTGGAAGGCAAAGATGGACGCGGGCCTCATCCCGCCGCCGGAGAAGCGCCTGGGCGGCCGCCAGAAGGTGCCCCAGCGCGTCGTCCACCCGGAGCCCTACATGTTCGACGAGATGGCCAAGTGCGACCTCCTCGCGATCCCCATGTACCTCCAGCACGGCTTCTGCCTGTTGAGCATCTGCAGCGCCATGGCGGACCTCGACGTGAACATCACGCTCTGGATGCACAAGTTCCAGGCCTTCAACGTGCGCGAGCTCTCCGAGAAGCTCGAGCTGCGGCCGGGCTACTGCACGTCGCTCATCAACTCGCTCGTCACGCTCGGCTTCATCCGCGAGCGGAGCATGTGGGGCGACGAGGTCCAGTACGAGGTCGACATGGAGGTGTTCAACGACCTCATCCGCCTCCCCTACGAGCCCATCGCCGACTACCTCAAGTTCGACTTCGCGTCCATCTTCCGCGACGACGTCGACGTCTTCCCGACGATGGACCTCCAGGGCCCGAAGATCCCGAAGATGCAGCTGCTCCTAGAAGGGTTCTACCTGGCGCCCATCGTCATCTACCTGCGCATGCACCTCCACCCGTCGTCGGCGGTCTTCGCGGCGACGCATCTGAATTTGAAGTCCGTGCCGGTCATGGCGCCGACGCTCATCCAGATCTTCCGGCGCCTCGACTGGCTCGACAAGGGCACGATGAAGCTCACCTACAAGGGCACCTACGTCCTCGCGGCGGCGCTGAACGCGGGCGTGCCCATTTCGTATTATCCCATGTTCCAGGAGCTGCCGAAGATTCTCAAGGGCGACGGGTCCATCTTCGCGGCGCAGGAGGCCGACGGCCACGAGGTCCACGTCGACCGCGTCCTCAACGTCGTCGCGTCGGGCGCCCAGCACCGCCGCTTCTTCGAGCACATGTGCAACGGGCTGCTGAGCCGCGTCTTCAACGACGAGCCGTTGGAGCAGCAGCCCCGCGCGGTCGCGGACATGGGCTGCGGCGACGGGCGCTTGTTGCTGACGCTCTACGAATACGTGCGGGACCAGACGAAGCGCGGCAAGCACCTCGACAAGCACCCGCTCACGCTCATCGGCGTCGACTTCAACGACGAGTCGCTCGAGGTGACGAAGGCGACGCTCGCGCGCGCGGGCGTGCCCTTCGAGGTCCAGTGGGGCGACATCGGCGACCCGGCCTTTGTGGTGGAGGCGCTGGAGAAGAAGGGCTACGCGCGCGACTCCGTGCTCCACGTGCGGTCGTTCCTGGACCACGACCGGCCCTACGTCGCGCCGAAGCGCGACGCCGACGCGTTCCGCATGTACACGCGCGGCGTCTACGTGAGGAACGACGGCGACGTCATCGCGCCCAAGACCATGCTCCAGTCCCTCGTGGAGCACCTCGAGCGCTGGAGCGACGCGGTCGGGTTCCACGGGCTCTGCGTGCTGGAAGCCGGGCAGCTGCCGCCGCTCGTCGCGGGCTACGAGATGGAGCGCTGCGTGAGCCTGGCCTTCGACTGCTGCCAGACGTTGAGCCACCAGTACCTCGTGCCGCTGCCCCAGTGGCTCGTCTGCGCGGCGGCCGCGGGCCTGTTCCCGGACGCGCACTCGCTCCGGACGTTCCCGGAGTCCGTGAGCCGCATCATGCTGAGCCACTTCAAGCCCCGGGGCTACAAGATCCGCCACGCGACGCTCGACGACCTCGACGCCGTCGTCGCGCTCGAGGCGGGCTGCCGCGGCCTCGAGCTCCGGACGCCGCGGAGCGTGTTGGAGAAGCGGTTGAAGGAGCGCGCGCGCTTCAACTTCGCGCTCCACGAGGGCGGCGCGCTGCTGGGCGTGCTCTTCTTCCAGTTCGTCGACGACATCCCGACGCTGTTGGAGTCCCAGTGGAAGGACCGCGACAAGTTGGCCGTGCCGGAGTCCGCGGCGACGCACGCCATGATCCTCGACGTCTTCGCGGACGACGCCGCGGACTCGTCGCTCCGCGGCGCCGTCGCCGCGGAGCTCCTCAACTTCCTGCTCTGCTACGCGCGCGCCCTCTCGGCGAACGTGAACGAGATCTGCGGCGTCGTCCGCGCGGCGCGCTTCAAGACGTCCCCGAAGATCGGCGACGGGTCCTTCGAGGACTACGTCTTCACGGACAACGGGGCCCACGACCCGGCCCTGGCGCTCCACGCGGCCGCGGGCGCCAAGGTCCAGGCCGTCGTCGACAACTGGTGGCCCGAGGACGGCGACAACGGCGGCAGGGGCGCCTACGCGACCTACGTCGTCGGCGCGCCGCCGTCGAACCGCTCCAAGCTCCCCTGACCGCGTGTGGCGGGGGTCTTAGAAGGGGGTGTGGTCGGACTAATAGGTGACGCTCGAGGAGGCCTTGGCGTCGTCGTCGAGCTTCGCGTAGAACTCGGCCTGGCGCGCGAGCTCGGCGTCGAGCTGCGCCCGGAGCCGCGCGATGCGGTCGGGGCTCGCGGGCTC